AACTGAAATTTAGCACCTGGACTCTTTCTGTAGGGACATGTCATAATACATCTTAATTTTCTTGCTAAAATATTGAAGAACTTGTCTGAAAAAGATGTGAATGTCAGCAAACATTGCTCCATAATCTTTAAGTGTTGTTTAGCATTAATGGACCCTTCACAGTAAGTGCAGTAAGGTGTCACAAGACCATTACAGATGGTGCCCTTTCCTTTTTCAGTTGTTTTTAGTTTGCCCACAGGACAGTTTTCCACTTGATCTCAGTTCATTTTAAATGAGCTTGGACTCAGACAAAGCAAATGCGATTCTGAATCTTTTTCAAGTTCTTTCCTTGCCTGGTAGAATTTAAACTTGCATTTGAAGTGCCATCTAAACACTGGATTTGCTTACATTGTCTTTCGGAAATTCCAAATTCCCATTATAAAACTGGGTCTGTTTTTAATGTTAACGGTCCAAAGAACACAGACATTTAATTAATATTGGTTTTTGGCCTTGCCCCATACAAACAGACATCTCCCCAGAGTGCTTTTTAATGATACTAAGTCCTGCAGTCTTTCACAGACCGGGGACTTATTTTAGTCTTGTTGCTAATTAACATCATTAGTCGTGATTTCCCAAGAGTTGTTTTGTTTCTTTGTCTGTTTTGTTTTACATTGCACAGCATGTCACTAAAAGGTTGGGACAGGTACAACAAAAACTAAATATTTTCCTGGAATCCATTTCAATGCAAAATATTATTTTTCAAAATACAATCAAAATCCAATGATCTACTATTTTCAGTAAATTCATCCAAACATTTTTGGAAACAGGGTTGTAAAACCATTGTGTAACCCAAATTGATCACGTCTTCTTTCCAGTAATCTGAAACTAGCTTTTCTCCTCTGTAATGTACACAATATGAATACCTCAGCAGTGAGTTTTATGACAGCAGTACTCTTTGTTAATGTGCCTAATGTGTACCTGCAGGCATTGGACCGGTCCACATGAACGAGGTGGAGTGTTCCGGTTTCGAAAAGTCTCTGACCGAGTGCTACTTCAACCCTAACTCTTTGGGCTGCAGCCATGAGGAAGATGCAGCAGTCAAATGTAATGTTCCTGCCATGGGCTTCCACAATAGAGTGAGTAAATTCTGTCTACCATATAGAACAAAAAACTATGTGTGTGTAACAGTTCAGGAGATGCCTAAATGTATATATCCCTTCCCTCAGCTTCGGTTAAGTGGCGGCCGTAACCCATATGAGGGCCGTGTGGAGGTCCTGGGGGAGAGAAATGGCTCTTTGGTGTGGGGCACGGTGTGCAGTGACAGCTGGGGGACTATGGAGGCCATGGTAGTGTGCAGACAGCTGGGCTTGGGCTTTGCCAGCAATGCTTTTCAGGTAAGGTCTTCCTTTAAGCCCTCTTACATCCAATCGTTTTTAAAACGAGCTTATCTTTGCAGCACAGACTTTCAGCATGCTCAAAGTCAGTGAATACCATTAACTCTCACTTTAATAAGCTTGAGCTTTATTGATCCCTGGGGGCAAAAGAAAGACATCACTTCCTTACAAACATCAAATGCACACAGTGAGCACAGATGGGCAGGGAAGCGGTGAGAAGGAGCTTGATTTATTTTGTTTGAAGTTTAGTGGACGCTCCACCAGTAAAGCCCCTGGCATTACTTCCTACCGTTACTCTTGCCCTGCTTACGTTTCCTTCTTGATTTTTAAAGAAGACCCCAAACTCCCTTTACATCATGATGTGAGAGATGTGCTAAGACCTCTCTTAGGTTTTTTTATTTTTCTGTTTAAAGGCATTTTGCATTTGTGGTTTCAAATCTTCTGGAAAGTATGTGTGTGAATCATGGGGAGGTGCATTTATAGCAGCAGGGGGGCTATCTGACTAAAGTGTGCCTATCTATGCCAAGTCATCTAGTCCAGTCCAGGCATTATAATAACATGTCCCCTTTATTACCGAACGCTGTAAGTTATCATTACGTAAGGGTTATCGTGTTAAGAGTAATAGATGTCTAACTCTTTGCTATCACAGAGCAGGACCTCTGGCCCTCTAGAGCCTCTTTCCTGTCTGACTTTTAACTGCTTCTCCAGGCAAACTCCACCACCAAATGGAAAGAATGACACTGAGCTTACAGCTATACAGCTTTATGTCTGTCCTTCTCCTCAGCCCACCAGCAAATACTCCCACATCCATATCCCTCAGCTTAATTTACTTCTCATGACTCCTCCACTTCCTGGGTAGATGATGGAAAGTATGAGTTTTCCTAACAGAAGGTTTTCCCTGTGGTCTGCAAAATGTTGTAATAAGGCTGAGTCAGGCGTGAGAGGACAAGAGAGCATCTCTCCCTGTGTGGGTGCTAGATACTTTGATTAGACTACATTTGGCTTGTGGGACACCTGGTATGGCAAGTCTGAAAATTAAATACAGGAGGACAAATAAGATTATGTTGCTGTTGAAAACCTAGCTCCCATACAGATCACGGTTTCCACAACACTTTGAGGAGGCTGACCTGTATCTGTTTGATTGCAGCTAACAAAAAGAAGTGAGCCTAGCTGTGTATGCATAGCTTAGCAGCAGTACGTTTTGTGTAGACTAAACAAACATACAGGACTGTAGTTAGATCCAGGACTGTAGTAGATATGTTGCTGGTGAGTTTTGTTATAGCCAAGCTCTGTTTTTGAACTTTTTAACAGTAACACAGGGGTATCAAGCTTTGCATCAAAGTCTTGATGCTGTGTAGTGTATAATGTGTTTCTTGTGCTTCTCTTATAACAGGAAACATGGTACTGGCAAGGAGACTCATCAGCTGATGCTGTGGTGATGAGCGGGGTGAGGTGTTCAGGAACTGAGCTGACTCTGGAGCAGTGCCTGCATCACGGGAAACATGTTGTCTGTCCCAAAGGAGGTGGACGCTTTGCTGCTGGGGTCTCTTGTACAATGAGTAAGAAAGTGCAGAAAACCATAACATATATATTTAGAACCTTACATAGGTTAGGAGCTATGTTTCTAAAGTATTTATTGTGGAAATGGAAAAATAGTTTGAGGACATTGGTGTAGTACATGCTGACTGAGGGTTGTGACTGGGTCACTTAAAAAGAATGAAACACTTGTAGTTTTGTAGCTGTTCAATATAAATGTAATAAAAGTTTCAGTGTAAGTTTCTGTGCACCCTCATGTTCTAAATCAGCACGATTCCTTGTTGCTCGCAGCGGCCCCTGACTTGGTCCTGAACGCTCAGGTTGTGGAGCAGACCACATATCTGGAGGACAGACCCATGTATGCTCTGCAGTGTGCCCATGAAGAGCGTTGTCTGTCCGGCAGTGCTGACAAAGCTGACCCTAGCTCCTACCGCCGCCTTCTTCGCTTCTCCTCCCAGATCCACAACAATGGCCAGTCAGACTTCAGACCTCGGGCATCACCTCAGTCGTGGGTCTGGCACGACTGTCACAGGTGACGTATCTGGAACAGATATGTGCAAACGGCAAACGTTTTGCTTTTTCCTGTAAAAATTCAGAGGAAGCCAAACTTATCTAACAGGAAAGCCACTAGATAAAAGTGTAAAGGTTACAAACATTTATATTAGTGTGAAATGATTTTATTTTATTTTTTTATAATCAAGGCATTACCACAGTATGGAAGTTTTCACCCACTATGACTTGATGAGTCTGAACGGCACTAAAGTGGCAGAGGGCCACAAGGCCAGCTTCTGTCTTGAAGACACCTATTGTGATGAGGGTAAATACAGACACTCCTTATATTAGCAAATTATACATTCAAATACAATAATAATAGTAATCTATTGTACGTTGTTTAATTAATGAAAGAAATGAGCTTACTGGGCTGTATAAGCGTGACCTCATCACAAAATTTGTAACCTTTTCCTAATCCAGGAATTCAAAAGAGGTACGAGTGTGCAAATTTCGGCGCACAGGGCATCACTGTTGGCTGCTGGGATACCTACAGGCATGACATTGACTGCCAGTGGATCGACATCACAGACGTGAAGCCCGGCGACTACATCTTGCAGGTAAAACGTCTGTTGTGGTTGTCTGGTTGTAGTCCACACGGCACATCTGCTGCTGGAAAGATGTCTCATCTCCAGCCAGCAGAGTCTGCTAGATCAAACAGGCACGAACAGTTTCCACAGCTCTGCATCTGCCTGTAAGCCCAAGGAGCCTCTGATTGCGGTTCTAAACCAAATGAGCAGGAGTTGGTTAAGTCAAACTTTTATATTAAAACAAATTTAGTCCAGCATAGATTTATAGTATCTAAGATGAAGGATGAACTCTTTCAGTCTCTTTTGTGCATTATCAGTCATTCTATTATCATCTTATTCTATTGCTGGTCTTTACACTTGCGTTATTTGGTTCTCATAAAAACTAATTAAAGACTTGAAATGTGTCAAGAGAAATGCTTTAACAACCATTGTTTTTCCTTCTTCCAGGTTGTAATTAACCCAAACTATGAGGTCGCGGAATCAGATTACACTAACAACATAATGAAGTGCCGCTCCCGATACGATGGCCATCGGATGTGGACATATAACTGTCATACAGGTAAAAAGAATCTTTTTACCCTCTGCATTAAGGACGAAATATCCTTCAGTAAAAAAAAAATTAGTGGTGTTTGGGACTGTACTTTAGAAAGGTCTACATTTAAACAAACTCAGTTTTATACTGAGGTTTTCAGCCGCAAAGAGCCTGCACCTGAAAAGTCTGAGCGTTAAATGCTAACTCCCCTTCTCCTAACCTTATTTGACCATTTATAAAAATAACTGTTCCACTGTATCTGTGTGATGTTTAAGTGCCCAGTTCACAGCAGCCATAGTCAGCAGTTTTAACTTTGGGATCATGCAGGACAGGTCTACATAACAAAAACTCTTCTTACGTCATATAAAATATGACATTAAAACTTATAGTTTTCCTGTTTTCACAGAATTGTGCAGAATCGTCTTTAGCACCAAAACGACTCAATAGATTTAGATTTAATTGACTCACAGGCACAGAGGATGATTTCAGAGGAAGCCCCCTTTTTATGTAGAACTTTTACTAAATACAAACCTTTACAGTTTCTCAATGACATTTTAATATTTTACAAACAGGAGATGTTTGATGAGACATCAGTGACAAAAATGGCATTAAAACAAGCCAATATAACATTAGAGGAACAGGTAACACTGAACATTTCAAAGCTCCCTCCCAAAGCTTCCTGTAATGTGAAGAACTTTATACTTTAAGTATTTGTGTATTAATTACAAAGGTAACAACCTATTATTATACAATTTTTTAAAAAAGTGTTTTTTAAAACAGAAACATAAACTTAAAATCTTGGAATTAAAAAAAACAAATAGTGTTTTATCTTATTTATGAAATCTGTTTGTTAGCGGATCTGCATTACTCTTATCTATACACAATGTACTTCTCTGACCAAATCCTGAGATACTTCAAATGAAGTTAAAAAGGAATGAATACTTTTGTAGAATTACACAACCAATTCATCACCCGCATCAGCAGGGCAAGACGAGAACAGGGGGGGAAAAAACACATCCATCCATCCATGGATCCTTCCAATTAATCTGAAACAAAAAAAACCCTGCCTGGAAATCAAACACCCTTGAAAGAAATTTTAGTTCTGAGTCAGCATGCAATAAAATCAAAATAAGCCTCCCATCTGAAATCACTATGATAATTGCATTATTAGTCAGGCTAACAGTGAACAAGAGGCACCACCGCAGTAATGTACAAAGGTCAGAGGTCAGCTTCAAATACAGCACAGCAGCTCCTGCTCATAGATCATTCAGGATGGATGATGATGATGGCAGCATGGGCATTAAACTCTCAGGCCTCTTCTTAACTGTGCCTGCTGTGCTGATCAGTGAGGGTGAGCAGTCATCACTCATCATGGTCACTGATTCAAACACGGCCACTTTTGAGTCTCTTCGGAGAAAGGAAAGGAAGTGAAAGGAGGGCAGACCTCTGCTGGACCTTTTTGTAGAAAACAAAAGGACAAAGTCTGCCTTTAGACAAAAGTTTTACCAATTTAGTGTAAAAAAAAAAATATCACAAACTGGATTTTTTTTATAGCTGTGCTATCACTTTATCATCACATTACATCACCGTTCATGAACAAATGGTGCACTTTTAGCCATTTTAAAGCAATTATTACTGTCTTTAATTAACATTAATCTGTTTACCCGGGAGCTTTATAAACGGTTTAATAAGGAGATCTTTAACTAGAACATTTGCCTTTTGTTGCTAATCTCTTCACTGACCTCTTCCTGTCTGACTTAACAGGTGGCACACTGAGTTCAGAAACGGAGGAAACGTTCCCTGGATTGCTTACCAACCAGCTTTCTCACAGGTAGACCTGAGAAGGACAGGTCAGCATTGGTGGACGGGGGGTGCAGACTAATATTTGACAACCACTAGAGGGGGGCCTGGGCGGATGCGCTTCCTTGGAGCAGTGCTGGATTGTTGTTGAGCTCCGGGCTCATCTGGTACAATAAACAATGACTCAATGGGAAAATGAAATGCTTGCTTACTAAACCATTAACTGCATTCAGATGTTCAAAAAGTGTTAGTACAGTGTAGATTTGATCTGATGTTTATTTACCAGGAGAGATGCCATGAGGATTGTAGCCAGGTAACTCGTTAAATAACCCATGCCAACAAGGGCCGCCTGCGTAAAAGTTTCCAGTGTTTGGGAGAACATTTTAAACCAAAGAAAAATCACGACATGAGAGACCACAAATCTTGGACTGAGCTCTGTTTGAACGGGTGAAAATAGTGTTGTGCTTAATCTGGTGCTACAGCCTGTACTGTTGCCTTGCAGCTGAACCGAGAGACATTTGCCTCAACAGTAAATAGTTAAAGGAATTACTGACTCAAAACTGTGAGCAGTTTTAATAATAATACATAATAATAATAATAATTACATGCCTATGATTACCTCTGCAGAGCAATGTGCTACAATCTGTGGATACAGCATGTCTGATAAGTAACTCCTGCTCTCAGAGGGATTCATTATAACAAACTGAAAATTTCTATTAGAGCCTCCGTGCACTTAATGTACCAACATCTTGCAAAGAGCTTACTTCTCCTGGGATTTTGCCTTTCACATACTTGACACATACATTTCTGAAAATATTTTTAATTTATTCACACCGCACACACATTTTCATCTTCTTGTTCTGCACATCCTCTCCCTTTCTTTATCGGTGTCTGAGTTGTGTTAAATTATTACCATCAGGGAATTTGATTACATTGTGGAAGTGCTGTAACAACCACACATGTATGTGAAAATGCCTCTTTGTGGTTTTGTACATTTTGTTTTTCTAAATGTGGCAATTCAAGTGTGCTTCATGTTAAAAGGATACTTGTTGGTTGCTGTCTGTTTTTATTTTGTATGCATGGATGAATGTGGGAAAGCATTATGTTTTCAATAAAATGAAATGCTCGAAAAGCAACAAGTGCTTCTGTGGCATAAAAATATTTCCAACATGTGAGCTGCGGGAACCTAAAACCTAACCTGTCGTTGTTATTAGCCCGCTCACCTGTAGTGGATGTTGGCACTCCTCAATATCGCTGCACTCTGCCTCGCCCCTGAATGCCCAAGGCTCTGGTTACCATCCGCCTAGCAACAGCACAGTCTGTCCTCGGACGTTCCTTCACTGGCTGGATGAACTCTGGAAGGAGGCACATAAACAACCATATTGTTTTTAAAAAAAAATGCCATATTATACATTATATATATATATCACTGCTATGGATCTCCCACCTGCTCGTCTGATGGCCTTGCCTTGAGCTTTTTTACTCCCATCAGCCAGTGCTCGCGCCTTTAGCAGTGGGTGGCAGATAGAAAGAGCATGGAGTGCTGTAAGAAGACACATTTCTTTTTTTATTCACATCATAAGCTTTAAACCTCAAACCCAACATCTCATTCATCGTGCAGTGAAAGCGCTCACCTGCTGACTCGCTGGAAAAAATCCCTAAAGCGTGTGTGTTGTCCACCCACTTGATCTTCATTCCACCATCACTGAGGCAGACAGAGAGCACTTTAAGCAATTTTGTGGCCACATCAGTCGGTTGAGGGTGAAATATTTTCTGGATTTACATCAGACGGTTTCAACGAAAACTAGAGATAGCTAAAGTAATATATACCTGTGTAATTGTACCATATTAAGGTTCAGTTTTTAGTGACATTTTTAGAATATATAAATTTATGTATGTTTCATATTAAAGGTGACAGTTGAAAGCGTTGACAGATTTGTTGTGTACAATGAATTATATATGGTTTCACAGCAGAACACTCTAGACAAAGGGTGTGAAACATAAGGTCTGGGGGCCAGGATCAGCCTGCCGAGGACTCCAATCTGGCCTAGCAATCTTGGACAGCTTTGGAAAATGGGAAGAAGGACGTAAATTTTAGACATTTAACTGTGTTTTCACATGTTTTATAGCTTTTCCCACTGATAAAGACCTCATCCATGACCATTCATACTACACCAAAGTAAATAACTAATAGACAAACCATTGAATAACAGAATTTTCCAGTTTTTTTCACTATCAACAGTGGAAATTTATGGGTTTTATAGCAGGTTCAAAGGGTTTTTGTTTTGTTTTGTTTTTTTAAAAGAGGACATTCTGTAACAAAAATGATCATTTTAATTTCATTTCATTTGAATTAAAAGGCCGTCTGCACAGCTAACAGAACTTTTTCTGTAACATTCATACATATTTATTTCTTACACTTTTTGCCCAAAGCAGCATTTCTTTTCTGCAGAAGAACTGAGATGTGTTGTTGAAATTATATTTCTTTTTTTTTTTTTTAATATTAAAATATCTGAGGGATTAAATGCATCATTAAACTCCTTTACACTATCACAAAGAGAACTTTCACTGGTACATGGGCCACATTGTAAAATAAAATATGACTGGAAACAAAGGGACAGAGCAGTGAACAGGTGTGTCATCTCTCACCTGTACTCTGAGAAAGCATCAAGAAGGTCGTCAGTCTTGAACATAACCGGGAAGTCATAGATCTCAATCACGTGGCGAAAGTCGTCTGAGTCGATGGAAACATTCTCATACATAGAGTAGTCATTATGGACATGCTCAATGGCAACAGAGACTCCTTCTTTTAGATGTGCCTTGATCTAAAATAAGAAACACATATATGTAATGTTACCATTATATTTAGGTTTCTGAAATGCACAGATTAATCCAAAAGGCAGCAAGTACAGTACAGCAACACTAAAAGACTGTATGCATACATCCACACCATGAAATTAAGTCTGTGAGAACTGACCTCTGCAGTTACACCATCTTTGTCTGTGCTTGTGTCTTCTGTCTGGAGACTGCGTGACACACTTGCAGTGTCGTCCTTCTCCTTCTCATCCTCCTCCACAGTCAGTTCAGCAAACTGGGACTGAGTCTGTTCCAAGACTGGAGCTTCATCTTCATCCAGCCTGAGCACCAGCTTTTCTTCTTCCTGAGGACACATTGCTGAACTGTCTGCAGACAGTTTAGGGACTCTGTCTGCTACACTGGGGAATGATTCCTGTTTAGATAGTGAGAGCTTTGTGTTTTCTGTAGATTCAGGACAAGTACAAGAGTCAGACAAACTGTTGACAGAGCTTCTATCAACACAAGCTGAACTCAATGACTCAGAGCCAGCTGTGGAGCCTTGTGAGTTTCGTAATGACAGCCTCTCTCGAGCGGCTCGTGGCATGTAGAGGGGCTTGTCGGGCCTCTTAGGTGCTCGGCTTCGTGGTGGGATTGAAGGTTTAGGCTTGATATTGCGTTCCCTCTCTTCCCTAATACTTAGGGGCTCTTCACACAAGCTGCTGTTGCTCTCCAAGTCGCTGTCTTCCTCTACCTCACTCCTACAGAAACATGTTTTCTTAAAGTTAATAAACGTCTTTTTCAACATGCATAAGACATACAGACCAAATTTTGGCCAACAAACCTGAGCTCACAAGGACAGACCACCACCCTACGGCACCAGCTCTCCCCTACTGAGAAGGTGGTGAGCTCTGGCAGGTCTTCTATGGTTTTGTGAATCAGGTATCGCAGTCTGCTGGGTAAGGGAGGAAACAGCAGCACACTGGACAGGGACACACAGGGCAGCAGACATTATTTGATCAAGTAAACACAACAGCATTTTTATTCACATAGTTCTTGGAGCGATTAGGCTTAAAAATCACAGTACACATTAAAGATGTGTTATAAACAAACACACAAAACATAAATTTTAAACACAATCACAGAAAGTTCCAAAGTAAACTGTTAATATAAAAGTCTGAAAGAACTTTGCAATTCAATATTTGGTTAAACAGTTTTTATTAGACCCATTAACAGGCTCATTATAGCTTGGGGACTTAGAATAATGCTTTCATGATGACAAGACATTTTTCTCATAGCTGCAGTGCCTTTTTTTAATATTGCCTCTATGAACCAAAGTTCAACCCCATAATAACGGCTAAAACTGATTTTATGCTGAGCTCCCACACTATTCTGGCATTTCAGGAGCACTAAAATTGAGTTTTGGAAATTCTATGGACTCAGATTGTTTGGAAACACCAGGATTGGGGGGCTAGCATGGCGACAGGACAGGAAAAATGCCCACTGCATGTTCTCTCTGTGTTTGTATAGGTGTATTTAAGCTTTCACCCAGAGCCTAACGGTATACATGCTGTGTTAATGAATGGTTCTAAATTGGCCTTCAGTTTAAATAGTTGTCTGTCTCTATGCATGACCCATGTATTGGACTGGCAACACATCAACAGTGGGAAGTGGATAAAGCTCCAGTTCACCCCATGACCCTAAATTGAAACACTACTTGACAGTTTGAACATGCAGACGCTGACATCTTTTGGAAAGAATCAGTTCTCCGGAAAATAGTGTCACCATTCCAGGAAGATCCCTCGGATTTCTGTGCACAGACACTAAGAGGGTCTAAAGTTTTTCTAATGACTTTGGGTTTCCCCAATGAACAACGGTACTGAATACAGATTCCCATATGTAACTTTATTCCTTGACTTTTATTGTTATAATTAATTATTGTTTTCTAACTACAATTATATTTCTGTATAAGCGTCAATATCTGATTGTAAAGCAGAGCACCTATTAGTACTTGACCTTATTTCAAATAACCAAATAGACTAAGCTACGTTTTAATTTTGTTTTTATATTTATCATTTATTCTCAGATTGGCAGACAACACTGAGGCTGCAGCTGAAAAAATAAAAACTGAATTTGAAACTTGAATTATTAAACTACTTGATTTTAATGCATCAGATTCTTCCATGTTTTAATGACAGAGTTTTCATATTGAGGTCTGTTAACTTAGAGTCAGCATTTTTTGCTCACTTATTTTCTTGGCTTCAAATAGGCCAAACTTATTAATACAGTAACTTTTTCCCAGTCTCACTGACCAAAGCGCTACATGTTTAATAGTTTAATCTTGATTTGGAAAATCAGCCCTTCTGTGGCCAGTACAGTTATCAGTAAATGTGATTGGTCAGATTGGCTCAAGTGCATGAGTGAAAATGGTTACAGTAATGTAGCTCAGTAAAGAAAGAGAATTAAAAAATGTATTAAAAAATTGAGGTTCAAGCAAATCGAGACCACTGGCTTCCGTGGTAGAAAATATGAATATGATACCCAGTATTTTCTACATTGTTTTTTTTTTTTAAATTTCTGATCTGATATTTTGATTTCCCGTGCCTGTGTTTATTATCTCCTTAATGAAACAAAAGGCACAGTGATAATCAGGCATGACTGTCTGTTTCTATCCTATTCGTTTTCTTTAGAATGTAGGAAACCGGTGTTTCAACACATGTGCCATTTGTTTACACAGTGTTAACCTGTGTATGTTTACTAAACAGGTTCACTAATAAATCACTATAACCGAGAAGGAAGTGATCACTTCACTTCATGTGATGAAACTGCTCGGGTTGCTCCATCTTTCTTAACTTTACCTGTTGTGGCTGTTTTTCTGTTGGTATGTTTCCAGCTCATCCAGGACATGATGCAAGAAGTTGTTTTCTTGTTTTGGGAGATACACTCCATCGAAACAGGGGAACGCCAGGGTGGACGGAGAAAGAAAGCCGGGTCCTGCTGACAACAGGGTGAAGTGAACTTCCTCGCTCGCCCTAATTAAAAATCAAAATGAAAAGTGACAGTGATCACCACTGCTAGCTAGCAACATAACTTGAACAAGGCAATGTTAAGCGTTTGCTAATGCCAAACAAACACGTAAAACTAGCTGCATCTTCGGTGTTTACATGTGCAATTAAAAGTTAAACCAAAGCTAGATTTCTTTGCTTAACATTAATGCATTAGTGGTGCTAATGTTAACCGCCTTTCTAGCTACGTTAATAACTGAATATTAAATTGAATACTCTTACAGCTGAGGCTGAAGCGTACAGTGTTGATTTGTTGTAGTTTCAGCACGATGGGGAGCTCGAACAAGGGAAAGCGCCTACAAATAAAAGTCGCAGGGTAGCTAGTATCCTTTGGCTTCCGGAAACAAACGTTGACTTGGGTCAGACCAACGCAGCAAGACTTCCGCTCTGACTACTTCAAAATAAAAGTTTTCATATTCCTCGTGAGTGAAATGTGTCAAACACAAAATATCACATCACATTCTCTTTTAAAAGAAAAAAACTAAATGTGTAATAAATGCGTACTCTGAAATTAATCAACAGCAGCCCAACAGTTTTCAGGAAATTATTATTTATTTAGATAAACCATAATAATTGTAAGAAAAGTAGACCAGTTGTCCAAACACCATATACAGCAATCACGGACTGTTTGGTGATTGTGAACAAGGGGAAGTTTGACAAACATGTAGGGCTGATGAGCATGATTCAGGAAGATTTTAGTGAAGGAGAAGGACATGTTACTATTGAAGTGATCTTATTAAAAAGGTAAACATGCTCCATCTTGGAAGTCACCCAACTCCAGCTCACAAATCCCAATATGCAAGTGTGAAAAAGACATGATCTGCTCCAGCACAAGAAAAAAGGTGACATTCATACACGGATAGAACATCTGCATCATCAATGCCAACAACCGTAATGTGGCTAAACACACTGTGTGAAGAACTACCCAAAACCATACCAACAACTCCATCCCAACCTGTTTCTACAGCAGTAATGTTTTTTGAGGGTTTTTTTTTTTTTTAACTTTATGTCTTTTATAAAACACACAAGTCAAATCACACAAAACTACCATAATCAAAAATGGCATTTAACACAATGGCACAATTCATAAGAGACTGGTCTTTATCAACTAAGGTCATGATGAGTATAAAAAGACATGAAGACATTTATAAACATATAAGGTTAGGCAGACAGTAGAGCACTTATAAATAACAGGGAAAAAAAGAGGATCAGATCAAAATTCTATACAACATTTAGGTGAAGCGGGACTCTGATTATGTGCTGTCAGACAGATAAGGAGTCTTCAACCTACAGAGTAGAGCAATAGAGAGAGGGAGAGATATATATATAGATAGATAGAGAGAGAGAACCCTGTTACAACTGAAAGTAAATCACATTTCTAGTGTTGTCTTGGCTTATTTTATATTATGCAGTTGAATTATAAAGATTTCCTTAACAATAGGAATGAACAACACAGTGGAGCGAAGTCAAATCTTTATCAAAGCTGCACCTGAATGGATTCTTTTATCTTCCAGAGCCAATACTTCTGTCTTCAAAGATGGTAATTTCAACCTTGAAGAGAACAAGTTAAGGCCAATACAAAGTGCTATGTGATCAAAAAAAAAAAAGAAAAAAAAAAAAGGGTAGAGTAACTGAAGATAATCCACCTTTGTGTATAGAACAAAAGCATACTTAACTACTGTAGAGATATAAAATGAAATCAATAAAGTCAATAAACATTTATATTTGATTTAATGTGTAACTGAGGTGCTCACAAAGTGACAGAAATACGCTGTTTGAGTATATAGGTATAAATAGACCAAGGGTTGGTGGTTTGTGGGGCATGATGACTGTTGTTATAACAGTTATAACTTAGCTCTAGTAAGCATGCAGCTGAATTAAGGATACAACTCGGAGGCCTCTCTCTATGGGGTCAGTCAGCAGTAAGCCTCTCGGAGCATAGATCTTCTCATTCTGGTCCTTAATGTATCTGGCAATCTTCTTTAACACCTGAGCACAGAAAGAGGGCGACGTAAGAGTCATTCCATCTTTTTTTTTTTACAGTCACTCTGTAAGTGTGCACGTTGCCCTAGAGAAGTCATTTAATTCAGGTTAAGTTTAAAATAAACTAAGAGGCAGTTATCAGGGATAGGTTTGGGTTAGAGGCGTTTAGGGTCAGGGTCTTTTATCGGACTACCCAGTGCTGGAGACACAACAACTTGTCCTTGCAAAACCATTCGCGTGAGACGAGCTATTAATGCCCTCTTAATTGTGTTGCTAAATTTATTTTCATGCACAAGAAAAATTACATCTGTACTTGTGAAGTTTTTAAACCGCTTAGTACATTTTAAACACAACCTATTTTATAAAACTACTCCAAGAAAGTTGGCCTCAAAATTTTTTTCTTTTAGCCAAGCCAATTAGCCAAAACATTTTTGTACATCTGTCACGAATTACACATACTGGTTCAATTTTGAGGCTAAAATTTAAAAAAAAAAAAAAAAAAAAAAGGCGGGGGGGACGATCAATGAAAATTTGCGTTCATTATTTTAATAGATAATATTCTGAGATATTCATGCCTCAAAAATTGAAAGGTGGACAGAACATTTTTCAAATAGTTCTATTTGATATATGAAGGTAAAATCTCACAGAAATCACTATATACATATTGTCACGCCTTGAAACATACAATTTTGAGCCAAAATATATGGTTCAGCAGAAGTTCCACAACGATTTGAGGCACAGTGACCCATAACATAAGACTCTGATGTGAACTCTTTTTTTGTTTTACCTTTTCATAATGTGTTTCCATGCAGAGGAAGATGGTGTAGGCCGTTAGGCAAGCCAGACAGCCCTCCAGGTAGGACTTCCCCCCGAGTTTTTCTGCTTCTGCATACAGGTTGTTTAGCGTCTGAATGGTCTCCTCAAACTGCTGCTTATCGATCTGAAACCACAGGAGCAGTTTTAAAAACATAAACTTAAAGCAGCGAGGAAACAACCATGGCATGGAGGTTAACTCTGTACATACCCTTGACTCAAGCTCTGAGGGGAACTTCGTCTGGAACTTGCATATGGTGCCTGAGCTGTAGTCTCTTTGGATGAACACCTTGGAGGACACAGCTGGTTGCTGGAGGTCCTGTAAGCTGTGGGTCTACACAAAGAATTTACTCTTATGCATATTAATTTAATGAGCAGAATGGTTGGAAAAGCAAGCATCTGTTGTAAGCTAACAACACCTAAACTCTGTTTACCCGAACAGTACTAATATCCAACGTTAACCAGACACACACTACATTACATAACCTAAAAGCAAACAGTCATCGTAACAGCTGGCCCTTTTATTACCCTATGATGAAAATAACTATTTATAATGTTGGAAATTGTCAAAAACTACACTTCACACCAACACCCGCTTCGGTTATGGGTTAATGTTAGCTTAAAAAATATTAGCTTGCGCTGACGACCAATACCGTCGCTAGAAAGTATGGCAATCTAAGCTTTAACCCAAAGCAACAAATCTCACCAGACGTGTAAATCCGATTAAAGATTCATCTAACACAGTATTTTCAGATCAAATAAGTCAAAAACGCTCACCTCAGCCATAGCAGAGGTTCGCCCCACTAGCTGATGCGCGTCTATTTCTTTACAGCCACGCCAAAGCAATGCAACTTCCGGCCCAAAGCTTTCAAAATAAAATGAGATTGAGTATTTCCTGGAAAATTGTTGTTACGACAGTATTTTTTAACAACAGTTTATTGCTTTGACAATTGCATTACCCTCTGGAGTCCAGATATATATAAATATTTTTTTAAATTGTAGAAAGTGGTGTAGATTTCATTTCAAGAATTTCGGAACTGGCAAAAGTAAATCATTCTAAAGACGTATTGCAGATGACATGCTGTCAAACGGATGTACAAGGCAGTAATTTAGCTTTAACCTCGAAATGCAAGTGAACGCACATTTACAGTAAGTATTAGGGGTTTCAAACTAATAAATGCGTTGGGGTTGCTATTTTCTCAATGTAACAATTCTAATGTAAACATGAAACGACACATCTCAAACATTTTATTCCGAAACGATACACCCAAACAGGAAATGTTGTCAGATGAGCATCCGGTAGAAAGTCGACGTTGCCGGAGGGCTCCAGATAATTGGGACCGGTTAGGAATTAGTGCTCAATTTCTGCAGTGCGCCAATTCTGGATGTATGAGCTTTTACAGTTCAACTTGTGAGATGACTACATGTCTACAGTCCATTTGCTTTTGAAATGTTCTTATAAAAGGACTCACTCCCCTTGTTATATCTTTCCATTTCAACTACAAAGTGTCATTTTCAACCACAAAGACTACTACAATCTCCTTTTAGTTGTACTAACAAAGAGACGACACCAGCACATGGATCTTGCATTATTTATTGAATCATGTTCTTATTAGATGTGGTTCTGTTCGCTGTATTTTATTCGTCGAACAAACCGAAGCCCATCTCCTCATCTGATTCCTCAGACTCCTCCTTGGCCTCCTCCTTAGCAGCAGCTGGAGCTGCGGCAGTCTCAGCAGCTGCTGCAGGTGCTGCGACAGCAAATGCAGATGGGTCAGCCAGGAAGGCTTTGACCTGCGAGGGTGAAGGATGTCATTAGTTCTCTGTTAATACAAAACTTCACTTTCAAGTCCAAGTCAAGTATCGTATGTTAACACTGAGAATGGCAAGAGCTGTCTGAAAAATGTAAAAACCATACTTTGTCTGCCAGGGGGAAGGAGTAGTCCGTCTCCACAGCAACAGCCAGGACTCTCTTGTAGCCATTGATGACGGTGTGGGGGACAGAAGCCAAAGTGGGGTAGCCAATCTCCAGACACACACTAGCAATATTCCTCACACCCTAAGAGGGAAAAATAACTTTTGAGAAACTGAAAATTCAGATACAACTCATGCCAAATTATTTCAGCCAATTCTCACCTCCAGGAACCTGGCATGTAGAGAAGCCTCTGTGATGTCGAGCACCTCTGGGCTGTAAACACTGCCATTGTCATAAACCTGCTGGATGATGAGTCCATAGGAGAACGGAGAGATGTTCAGCATGTTTAGCAGTGTGGCCTCGCTGGCACCAACCTTGTCTCCAGTCTTGATCAGACCAACATCGCTCTGGCGGACAAAGACATACAGAGTGATTAGTGGATGCAGAGATTTTCAAATCTTACCCTTTTAAAGTACACATTAGCATTGTGAGTAATACCTGTGAGTAAAACAGTTTCTTCAACAGTATAATTATCAAACTCACCAAGATTTCAATGGTTCCCCTGGAGATTTTGGTGGTGATACCCAGAGCCTGGAAGAAAGAGGTCTTCTCAGGACCAAGACCAGTATTCTGGGCCGGCACTGTCACATCACAAGGAGCGATGGCTCCAGCACGAGCAGCTGCAGGTACCTGGGATACAAGAGAGGGTAACCCTTAATAGACCACTCTGTTAGAACCAAATCTTTAAGATCTTAACTACTCAGGTTATGGTGTCTGAAACCTTACGTTCCTGGCAGCCAAAAGATGCAGGCAGACAGGTATAGCGAGGAAACAATTTACTGTTTGCAGGGGGAACGACAATGCAGTACTGCAAAAGCTGCATTGTAACTTATCCTGCACTTTGACAAGATCTAAATTATCTATAAGCTTTTTTATTAAAGGGCTCTCACCTTGTTGGCCAACAGCAGGTCTCTGATCTCAGTCAGATCCTCCTTCGTGAAGACAAAGCCCACATTACCCTTAATGTGGGGCAGGAGCCTGTGGAATCACAGCATAAACTTAAATTACACAAGCAGATTATCATTTCTACCAACATGAGCAGTTATCAGATGTCTGAGACCTTGCGTCCCTGGCTGTCCGAGGGGTGTAGACAGACAGGGATAGCTGGAAACAGGTTAATTTTAGCAGGGGGAACGACAGTACAGCACGACACAAGCTGCACCGTAACTAACCTGCTACACAGAAACTGATAATTCAATGCATCATAAAACAAAGGTTGTCAGTAAACTCACTTCTCCAGTGCAGGATTGTTCTCCAGATGGCCACGGATGGCTTTGCGCATCATGGTGTTTTTACCCATCAGCACCACAGCCTTCCCACGCAGGGACAGACGGATGGTCTGCATCTGCTTGGAGCCCACATTGTCTGCTCCCACGATGAAGCATTTTGGATAGTCATCCAAAAGTTGCTGTAAATACACCACTGTGCGTCACATACATTTCATTATGGTGTCCATGCTATAGAAACAACGACCTAGTGCATTTATGTTAAAAGGTACTCACGATGATTTTCAAAAAATAGTTGGACTTCCACGTGGCCCTGTCTTCCCTGGGCATCTCTGCAGTGCTTCCAAGGATCGCTACACAGCTGGTTTAAAGACAAGGATGGATCTACAAATAAAAGACGAAAAACAAGGATATTAACGGCACTTTCGAAATTGGTCAATACTTTACACTCCGGACATGTGGCCGATAGTTAAGGTTAGCCGGCTACCCTTAGCTACCCTAGCGCTCTATTAACAGGCCTCGCTTGGCTAAATGACACCTATTGAATGTTTAAAATATACAAAATATATCCCGTTAAGTGGTTTAAATGTTTATCTCACGAATACAAAACTAATATTTGGCCCAATCCTATAAAGACCGAGTATTTCGGTTTATTAACAAGCGAGGGAAAAAGACGTACCTCGCAGTAGGGTCGCGTGAAAGAAAGAGGAAGAGGACAGGCGCGGGAGGGATATGTATTAAAAAAGACAACCAATCACAACTCAGCTATGGGCGTTACCTTCATAACTATTGGGTGGATTCTGTGTCAATCACTTTAAAGTCACTATTAGTACTTCCGTGGCAGTTTTCGTGCAGAAAGCGTGGTTTATGGCACTCTACTTGAAGGATTTCTGGGACTGCATTAGTGTGACGGTGTTATCGAGCCCGCTTAGACATCTGCCCGCAGAGCAAAGTGATGGCACAGAAGCCTCCGAAGATGCCTCCTGAGGTCTGGAATAATGTCTTTGGGTATCTGTCAGCGACAGAAAAGTTAAACGTCCGGGCAACCTGCAAGTATTTCAAGACAATTGTCGATCACCGATCTCTGTGGAAAAACTGGACAGTGGTTTTGGATTTTAAAAACGGCTCATACAACAGGAAGTTCTGGGACAGTCTTCGTCATAGAAAAGTCTCCAGCGCAGTGATGAAGAGCACCAAAGTGAAACACTGGAAACAGCTCGCTCTGTTCCTTCCTATCCTCACCACGGTGGTAATGGACCAAAGCTCCCAGGAGTGTTTCAGCTGCTTGAAGGACTTCCCAAATATGAGACGTCTGGTTTTAAGAAGCAGTTGCTCTGATCTTTTGTTAGACATTTCCAGATTCCCATTGTTTCTTCCCGAGAAGCTGACTTACTTAAGCATGTGTGGCGTTATGTTCCCTACCACATCAGTGAGTAAATTCATTTCTGTGCTGTCCCAGTTTAAAAACCTCGACTCTCTTATCTGTCATCAGGTGGGCATCGTTGGAGAAACTATGTGGATGTTGCACTCCACACTCGAGTGCTTGCCTAAACTGAAACATCTCTCCTTGTCAGGTGTGCATATATTGTGTACCTATCGTCACAGTGATCCTAAGCCAAGTCCAGGTCCCTCAGGGGATGCTGGTGCACTGGCCTTGGCCAGTTTGGAGCTCATCGACTGCATGGATCCTTCATTGCCGGCGCACGGGTTGCAGTTCCTGCCTGGCCTGAAAAGTCTGTCTGTCTTCTTCAAGCACTCACATCATGACATTCCAGAAATGTGGTCACTGTCTCCTTGTCGCCTCAAAACATGGTTGCATGACCTACCTCAGCTCTCAACCCTGATCATCGTTAAGGGCCCCCCGGTTAATAAGTATATCACCTCCATTCCAGCCACCGTGACCAGTCTCACACTGTGTGTTGCAGGAATCACTTCAAAGGACATGGCTGCCATAGCGGTGCAGCTGCCAAATCTCCTCCACCTCCATATAGACACCTGGCCCTCACACCTGGGAACTCGCACCGCTGAAATCCCACAGCTGTTTCCAAAGCTCAAAAGTCTTAAAATCCGCCATGAACATGTGCCGGAGCAAGATTTCTTGCAGCTTCGTCACCTGCAACATCTTAGATACTTGGAGATTCTGGACAGCACTCCACAGCTGTCTGTGCTCACTGGCAAGCTTCAAGCTCTCACCAAGTTCAGACTTCAGATCAGAATCTTTCCTTACCCGAGAGATGTACTGTCATGTCCTTGTGTTTGTCACGTTTATTAACCTGGTGATCTGGTAACTTTTCATTTGTAGAGTGGGAACACGGAGACTTGCTCATAATTGATGTTTACTGAACTTTTTGAGGTAGTTTTATTTCAACTCAGGAATCCAAAATGCCTTGCCATACCTTGGATTATTTAACTTATTCAGGGGAATCAACCTCTTATAAAGGTTTCAATTAATTAAAATGTTTTTAAAGATTTTTTTTTTTTCTTTTAATTATTATTTCAGCAGACATGCACCTGTTTTAAGGTTGTAAGCTGAAAGGGTAGAACCAGCATAAATGTTTCCTACCAACTCTAATGATCCCTTTGATAATGTGAAATAAAAATTGTTAGACATACACACTGTGTGCTTGTACAATGTTGACTAAAATTTCTTCTG